CCTTGGTCCCAGAGGCCAAAAAACACACTTTTGCCATGTCTGTTTCTGAGAGCTCTGGTCTGGGAATATTTTCCTGGAATGGTTGTTTTATTTATTTATTTATTTATTTATTTATTTATTTATTTATTTATTTATTTATTTTTGAGATGAAGCTTTCCTCTTGTTGCCCAGGCTGGAGTGCAATGGTGCAATCTTGACTCACTGCAACCTCCACCTCCTGGGTTTAAGCAATTCTCCTGCCTCAGCCTCCCAGGTAGCTGGGATTACAGGCATGCGCCACCACACTCAGCTCATTTTTTTGTATTTTTAGTAGAAACAGGTTTCTCCATTTTAGCCAGGCTGGTTTCAAACTCCTGACCTCAGGTGATCTACCTGCCTTAGCCTCCCAAAGTGCTGGGATTACAGGCATGAACCACTGTGCCTGGCCTTTTCCTGGATTGTTTTATGTTGAAACATAACAGAAAAGAACTCAGGGACAGGGCACACAGCCCTTCTACACTGCACACAGAACTCACTCTTCACCACTTGCTCCTGTGAGAGACAGAGAAAACACAGCCAAGATTTATTCCAGTCCCCATGCCACCTCGGATTAGCTGTGACCTTAGGCTCATCCCCTCACCTTCTGGACCCTGCTTTCCTCATCTGTAAAGTGGGAACAAGCAGACAGTACAAACTTCTAAGATCCAAGAGGATGGAACAGGGTAATGTACAGATAAACTGAAAATATTTGTGATGAGTGGATGTGCCTCCAGTGGAAGGGCCTATATCCAAGCATGGGTATGTCTGAATCTCACAAATGGGTCCACATCTGATGGTGTCAGATCTCTCTGGAGATCCCCTCTATTGAGTTCAGCAAATTTGCTGCCCCAGGTCATGTTCGGGTCTCTGGAGCCCTGTCCCTTGTCACTAAGGGGCTTGCATCTGGTGGGAGAGACTCGGGAATAGCAGACTGAAGTCAGGGACTGAGAGATGACCGAGGGGTAGCAGGAGCACAGGATAGGGGCATCTGTCATTTCTCCCTCACTGGGATCTCAGGCTCACTAAGGCCTGAGATTGGGCAGGGCAGGCAGAGGCTATGGTCCTCATGCCTACAGACCAGCTGGGCAGAAGAGCCATGTCACCTTTAGGGAGGCTTGGGGCAGGAAGTTTCACAGGTGGGAGAGCCTGGAAGTCACTGTGACCTGCCCAAGATCTCCCAGGAAGACAGAGCTGGAGAACCTAGGACTAGGCCTTCACAAGGTCCGGCCAGCCCCTCTTTAGAACCTGAATCCAGTTTTTAGAAAAGCGGGAATCAGAGGCCTGGGTTCTTATCCCAGCTCTGCTGTGTGACCCAAGGGAGTTGCCCTATCTCTGGGCCTCAGTTTTTATACCCATGGGTACAGGCCATTCCAGATTTGAGCTAGGCACTATTCAGGCAGGCATCCCAACCAGAGTCCTGAAAACCTGGGCACTGACTGCTGAGAGCCTGGAGGGGCTGTCAGCGTCTATTTTCACCCCTCTCCTGGATGGGACTGAAGATGCTGGAGGGAGGAACAGCCTTCCTACTGACATATCCCTCTGAACTCCTCTGCTCAGTTTGTGAGCTCCTCTTCCTTCTGCCTACCTCATTCCCAGGAACTCCTTGGCCTGTGTGGCCTTCCAGACTTGTTCTTCCAGGAAGCACCCCCTCCTACTGGGAGGCGGACCGCCAAGCAAATTAAGGTGAATATGTGTTCCCTGAGAGGGGCAACTCCACCCCCACGGAGGCAGCGTGTGTGGTAAGATTGGCGCCTATAAAGTAGAAGGGAAGGTTTTGCGGGAGCCAAGAGGTCACTGTCCCAGAGATCAGTAAGACTATTTCCTGAGCACTTCCTCTGGGCTCTCTAAGCACAGTCTCCACTACAACCCTGTGAAATGGGGGAGAAACACAATGGCACAGCTGGTAAGTGCCTCCCAGGATTCAAGTTCCTTCAGTCCTGTGTCCCTGCATGTCCCTTGCTTCAAAGGACACCAACCATCTGGGTCAGGACCCAGAACAGAAAAAGGTGAAGATGCAGCAGGGGAGTCAGGTTAGACACAGGCTACATCACACCTCAACCCCCCGAGGTGGCAGGAAGGGGACATGCCAGGCAGCCCTGCCAAGAGTGTGTGTAATGCAGCCACGGTCCAGCTGCGTGGCCTCTCTGAGCTGTTTTCTCACCTGGAAAACATGGTATCTGCATGGCAATGTGATTGCGAGAAACAAATTACACTGCAGAAAGGGTGCAGGGTGGGGCCTGGCACCTCCTAAGGGCTTAGTCACAGTGGCTGCCGGAGTGTCTGTCTCCCCAGCCGCATGTCCCTGGAGATGGGAATGGCCACAGTAGACTAGGCAGCTGGTGACCCCTGGTGGCTGCTGGGAGCCAGAACATGAGGGCTGGGGCAGGGTAGAAGTCCTAGTGTCAAATAATGTTGGAACCCAAGACTTCTTAGACTGTTAGATTGGCTGAGTCCTTGAATATGAGAATTTTGTTGTTATGAAGTTTCTGTCTTGTTGCCTAGCCTGGAGTGCAATGACACATTCTCGGCTCACTGCAACCTCCTCCTCCCAGGTTTTAGCAGTTCTCCTGCCTCAGCCTCCCAAGTAGCTGAGATTACAGGCATGCACCACCATGGCCAGCTAATTTTGTATTTTTAGTAGAGACAGGGTTTCACTGCGTTGGTCAGGCTGGTCTCGAACTCCTGACTTCAGGTGATTCATCCTCCTCAGCCTCCCAAAGTGCTGTGATTACAGGCAACAGCCACTGCATCTGGCCTGAATAACAGAATTTAACCACTTAATAAACATTCCCTGAGGCGTTCTCTGTGCCAGGCCTGATCCCAGGGTATCTGTTCCCATCCTGGCCTCTCCCAAGAGTTTCTTGTCTTAAAATGGAGGGAAGCAGACACAAAAGGAGCTCAGGGACAAAGGCGGCCTTTACCCAGCCTGGCAGGCGAGGGAAGGGGGATCCTGAAAGAAAAATTTGAATTTGGGGCTGAGAGGGAAGGAGAACATTCTGGGAAGACAGAAAAGCATGTCTGAGATGCACTCACAATAGCAAGGAAATAGGCATGGTGGCAAGCACCTGTAGGCCCAGCTACTCAGGAAGCTAAGGCAGGAGGATTACTTGAGCACAGGAGTGAGACCAGCCTAGGCAACATGGTGAGACCTCATCTCTAAATGAGTAATGAATGAGTGAATAGCAAGGAAATGAAGATGCAGCTGAGAAGCCAGCAGAGTCGCATCCAAAGGGCTCCAAGTTTCATGTTGGGGTTGGGGGTGGTCTCTGAAGGCAGCAGGGGAACTCCAAAGGATTGGACTTGTGATCGCGACACCCTAGAAAGTCACTCTTGAGCCTAGCATGGTGGTGTGCACCTGTAACCCCAGCCCTTTGGGAGGATCAGGTGGGAGGACTGCTTAAACCCAGGGGTTTGGGGCTGCAGGAGTTTGAGGCTGCAGTGAGCTTTTTTGTGTCTCAAAAGCAACAAAAAGTCGCTCTGGCCATAGTAAAGGAAAGGGTTGGTTGGGAAGGCTGCAGGTCTAGAAGGTGGCCCACAGTGGCAGGAGGGATGGAGGGGTGCTAGATCTAGTAGCACAAGGTCCCAGGGATAGGGTGCAGGAGGAACAGGTCACTTGCATGGGAGATGATGGCCAGGAGGCAGCTGGGCCAGGAGTAGTGAGTAGGGAGTCAGCGGAGTATAGGTGTTGCTATTTAACCAACACTGTCTCCACAGGCCTGTGGCCAGCCCTAGGTTGGTGAAGAAAGTTGGTTTGCCCCAACTCTGCGTGTGGGCTCTGCCTTGTAAGCAAAGCCCCAGGCCCAGGTCTGGCCCACAGATGCCCTCCCCGAGGCACAGACACACAGAGACCCTGCTCTGCCCCACCCTGGACTCTATCTCTGGAGGAATAACGGAGATCCAGTGTAAGGGAAGCCCTGTGTACCAAGGACTTGGATACTAGTACCTGGGTTTTTAGGATCTTCCCCCCAGGACCCCTCTGGGCTGCCTCCCTGCTCCCTCCTCAGAGCTCTCAAAGCCCCTCTTCAGCTTCGATCTATCCTGAGTCCCTGAAGCAGGTGGGCCCAACATGTTGCTTTGGCTTCAGGACCAGGCCGAACCAAGAGTCACATCCATGGCTCTTTGCCGCCTCTGGGCCTTTCTTCCTACTGTTTCCGTGGTTAGACTTCAGCAGCACATGTCTCCCCAGGCAGAGGCTGGGCTAGCTGCCCCAGCTCTTTATGGAAAGAGGAAGGGGGCCAAGCCTGGATCTTCCAGAGTCCACTAGCCCAAAGGTCTTTGTACCATGAATGCTGCAAAGAGGCAGGCAGATGCAGTTTAGCTATAAAATTTTTTCTACTTTGGGAGAAAAAGTGAGGAGATAGATAGAGATAAAAATACAAAGAAAAACTACCGTAATACCCCAATGCATACTTCATTTTTAAACAAACAGGCTAGGTCCTGCCAGGCCTTCTTCCCCATTAAATCCCAAGGCCATCCCCAGTCCCAACCCCAGCCCCACTGGCTCAGGAACCCTGTGTGCCGAGGGAAGCTTCAGGCTTCAGGCAAGAGCTCCAGCTCAGGCAGGGAAGTCGTGGCCCTAGTGCCAGAGCACAATCTTCCTGCCCTGGTCCACGCTCACCACGTGGCTCCCGGAGTAGCACCAGGCCACGGCGTTGACAGCAGTGCTGGGGAAAGGGAGGGGCAGGCTTCAGGGGGGCTTCAGGAACTGCACCTGCAACCTGGCTGTGCCCCTACTGCTGGACATGAGCAGTTTGAGGCCCTCTCTTGAGCCTTTTTCCAGATCTGTAAAGTGAGCTCACAGGGCTATGGAGAGGACAGACCCAGTGCATGTGGAAAGTACCTTGTGAACTGCAAAGGGCTCTGGTCGGCTGGAAGGTGGAGGGACAAGGGCTGGGGACTCCCAGGTCCCGAGTATGTCAGAACCTGGAATCGGCCTGGCAGGACTGGGGCCAGGCAGGTGGCCGGGTGGAGGCCATGCTCACCAATGGGGTCCCTGAAGTCTGCTCTCCAGTTTCCCAGTGTCCACATCCCAGATGTAAAGGGCCCCATCGCAGGAGCCTGCCAGTGCATAGCTTCTGTCCGGGCTATAGTGGCCACAGCAGAGCAAAAAAAGAGGGTCAGAGGGGAGGGCACACACACGGTCCAGCAGGGTACACTTGGGCATAGGCATATGCTCTCCCAAACATACCTGAACACAGCTTTGGTCCAGTCAGAGCCACACTTGAAGCCATCAGCCCTGAGGACAGACAGGGCTGGGGTCAGAATAGAGGTAACCACTGGTCTCTGGCCTCTGCAGGGGGTTTCCAGAGCTTCCTCTCTCACAAAGGATTTGGTACCTCAGTAGGACCTGGTCTAGATGGACCCCCAGGGAGGGGCCCAAGAGGGCCTATTAGAGGAGAAGAGAGGCTCAGCTGTCCAAGCAAAGGCCACAGGGTCAGCAAGCACAAGGCTGGTACCTGAACACCTGGCGGATGTTGCTGACACGCAGGTCGATGACCTTGAGTGTGTCGTCTCGGGAACAGCTGAGCAGGTGTAGCTGGTCATGGCTGAGGCTCAAGGAGGTGACCCGGCCCTGCACAGGGATGACCTGGGTGCAGTGGGGCCCCCTGAAGAACAAGGACAGAGACAGGGATGAGGAACAGTCTAGCCAGGCCATTCCTGACAGGAAGGGGCCAGGCGCAGCAGCCTTCCCAGCTAACCATGTCCAGAGAAACCCCAGGGCCTCGGATCACTGGGGTAGAGGCTGCCAGGGACTCATTTTCCTTCTCCTCACTGCAGCCAGCTGCCTCCATTGAGGAACTTAGACTTTGAAAGCTGGAGCCCTTGAAACCCTTGGGTCACTAAAATAAGCACCATCTCTTCTGAGCAATGAAGTCTGTCTTTAAAAAAAATACGAGAGAGAAAGAAGAGTTGCAAACAATAATAGCTGCAGATCCGTGCGTAAAGGCTTGAGGCAGGCCTAGCATTGGCTCTAGCATTGCTTTTTATTTTTATTTTTATTTTTTTTCTGAGACAGAGCCTCGCTCTGTTGCCCAAGCTGGAGTGCAGTGGTGCAATCTTGGGTCACTATATTGTAACCTCTGCCTCCTGGGTTCAAGTGATTCTCCTGCCTCAGCCTCACAAGTAGCTGGGATTACAGGCATGTGCCACCACGCCTGGCTACTATTTTTAGTAGAGACGCGGTTTCACCATGTTGGCCAGGCTGGTCTTGAACACCTGACCTCAGGTGATCCACGAGCCTCGGCCTCCCAAAGTGCTGGGATTACAGGCATGAGCCACTGCACCCGGCCTCTATCTGCTTTTGCAAACAATTCAAGCCCAAAGTTAGGGTCTTTGGTTTAAAAAACAACTAAAAGAATTTTTTTCCTCTTGATGATATGAAAGTGGTAACTAAATGGAAAAAGGTGCATCTCCATCTTCGTTGCAAGATCCAGGCGGAGTCCAGCATTGGACCAAGAGTCATGAAGACAGTGGCACAGCCTCCTGGGGCAGCTGAGCCCAGCTGAGAGGCACCAGCTGGCAGTGCCAGCCCCACAGCCTTGCCTGCCCATAGTGCCACCAAGATTCCTGCCATGACCAGAGAAGGGAACAAGAACTTGGGAGCCCTGTCCCCAGGCCTCCCCCAGTCCTCCCCCAGCCTGCACCTGTCACCTGCTGTCCCAGAACCGGATCTTCTGGTCATTGTGGCCACTAATGATGATATGGTCCCCACACACCACGTCGTTACAGTAGGAAAGGACATTGATGGTCCTGGAGCCTGGAAACCAAGCAGCAGACCCCAGGGCCTCAGAGGAAGGTTGTCAGGAGCCAGCCCACAGGACAGATGGAGAAGCTGAGGCCCAGAACAGTGTCCTCCCAAAACTAGAACCCAGGTCTTCTGCTTCCCACCCCAGGGCTCACCCACATCTTTTTCCTACCCACAGCCTAAGGTCACCAAGAAACCGCACAGAAAACACCATTGGGAGATAGAGAAGGGCCTTGAGAGGTTTTATCCCCAAATGCCTATGAATCTCAGAGCCACTCCCAGAGAGCAGGTGAGGTCCTTTGTGCCCTGGCCTGGGGCTTCTGGCCGATGGGAAGGGGAGGGGGAAGGGGCTGGGGCTCACAGTAGGCGCGGCCGAGGTCCCACTCCTTCACTGTCCGGTCACGGCTCCCAGTCACTGCCTGGTGCCTAGTTAGCTTGAATTTGGCAGCTGTCACCTTATCCTTGTGTCCAGACAGTGTCTCCTGTACTCCAGCCCCAGATGCATATCAAGAGTGTGGCCAAGACCCCATAACAGGCCCTCTAGTGCTAAGGTATGACCCCTGACCCCCAAGGCACCCTCCCCAGTCAGGCCTCACCTTGGACTGTGCCTCCCCCACCTTCCAGAGCTGGGCAGCCTGGTTGTAAGTTGCTGCTAAAACCTGGTAGCCCTGGAGAAATAGGAGAGGAAGTGAGAGGTGCTAAGCCGGAGGCAACATCCTTCAGGCCAGAGAATGAGGCTAGGGACTGTCCCAGGGCTTCCCATGGCCCAGGTCACCATGGCAGGCAGAGGAGCCTCTGGCCTAGGGAGGAGGATCTGTGTAAGAGCCCAAGGGCTGATTCTAGGGTATCCATGGTGTGCCCTCAAGGCCCAGAGCCCCCACCTGCCCAGTGTGGAGATCGGAGGGGGTGCAATCCCATGCCACTGAGGCAAAGCTCCTCACCGAGGGGTCAAAGTCCACACTGGTGATGCTGCCACCAGCTCCCTCCAGGGTCTGGTTGGCCTCCAGGCGACCTGGGGGGACCAGAAGAAGAGACAGTTCAAATGAGGTCCTAACCTCACAAAATGGAGGAATTGGAACTGATAGTGGGAAGTTCCCCCTCCCCACCCCAGGTTAGAAGACAGAATCGCTGTGTCTGTCTGGGAGCCTGGGCTGGAGACTACACCTCCCCTAACTGCTGGCACTGGGTCCCAGGGGATAGCTAGTCATTTCACAGACCAGGCTAGAGAGGACCAGGGAGAAGGGACTTCTGTAGGTCATGCAGCAAGCCAGGGTCAGGCTAGCCAGAGACTTCCTTTTTCTAGGAGGCCCCCAGGAGCGGGCGCTGACTCCCCAGAACACAACCCTCTATGGAGCACAGAGCTTGGGACAAGGCAGACAGTTCATGCTTGTCTCTTAGCTGAGTTCTGAGAGTTCAAGTGATGCTAGAAGAGGGTCACCTGGGGGACTCAGGGGCCAGCTCCTCAAGGGCCTGTCCCTGTAGGACCTCATGATAGGGGACCCCCACCAACCCCCAACAGGGACTATCTGAACTGAGCCCTCCCTATTCTGCAAATCTGGACCCTAGGAGCTGGGAGGCTCTACTCATCTTCAGAGCAGCGAATCCAGAGTCTCACTCTTGTCAAGCCATTGTCTAGTCACTGCCCACAGAATGTTTTAGATGGGGAAACAAAGAGATCCAGGACCTCTGCCCACCAAGGAGTCAGCTGAGGAGGGGGTCTGGAGAGAAGCACAGGGTTGGCCTGCAGGGGAGGGCTCCTTACTTCCAACAACATTCCAGAGGTGGATCAGGCGGTCAGCCCCTCCAGTGGCCAGGAGGCTGCTGTTGGGGCCAAAACGAACAGCATTGACCTCAGAGAGGTGAGCGTCCTGTGGGGAAAAGGGAGATTGGTACCCCAGCCCTCCCTGCGCATGCCTCTGTGAGTGCTCACAGGCCCCCTCTCATGGGTACCTGTGTAGACACAGCCCACTGCAGATGTGATACTGCATCCCCGGTCTCTGTGTCCACACTTTTGAATTTCAAACCTAGTCCTACCAGGTGTTCTCGCCTTTGCCTGGATCCCTGCAGCAGCCTCCGTGCTATGCTACCCTACTCCCCATCTGACCTCCTGGCCTCCCAGCCTTCTCTCTCTCCCTCCCAAGCTCACATCATAACATGCTTGAGTGGCTTCCACCACAGGCTGTGGGAGGCAGCCTCCTGCTCCTGCTGCGGAGCCCAGCCTTGCTTCCCTGGCCTCCTGGGACCACCCCCCATGTCAGGACCGTCCCCATGGCTGTACTCCATCACCACTGCCCCACCCATGTGGCCCAGCTCCTCCCTTACCAGTACATCCTGAGCCTGGATAGGAAGTCGGGCGGCCACACACAGAGGGATGCTCTGGTATCGTTGCTCAGGGGCTCCCCCAATCGAGTGACCTCTCCTCTTCTTAAAACTGGGGGTAAGGTGGGTTGGGGTCAGGAGGGCATTTAGCAAGGCCTTCTCAGGTGGGAACCTCCAGCTCCCCTGAGGCATCAACCATGGGAAGCAGACAGGGCAGGAGGCAGAACACAGTCCCAAGGAGCAGCCAGTGCATTCCCAAACCCTGCCTCAACCCCAGGGGTTGGCGTGGAAAGGGGTGGGAGCATACAGAGGCAGGAGCAGGGTAGGGTTGGTAGGTGCAGAGAAACCTCAGGGCTAAGGTTTCAATCCCAGTCTTGCCACTGCTTGGCTCTGTGACTCTGAATGAGTCCCTGACATTTCTGAGCATGTTTCCCAATTGAGTGGGAGTTCCTGTCCTGCCTCAGGCTGGAGCTCTTGGTCCCCTGTGAGGACCCTGGATGAAGACAGAACCTTGTGAGGACAGAACCTGGAAGACAGCTGAGCAGGGGCTTGGGGCTGAGGCCATTCACCTGGCTCCTGGCTCCAGGACCCAACAGACTCACAGGCAGACAGCTGTGCACCACAGGGACAGACAGGCTGAGGCACAGACACAGACCAAGCCTGGGATGGGGAGCCCAACACACACGGGGGTGCACACACAGGCACACACACACACTTACTCCAGAAGACCCTTCACCACATCCACACAGCGGGACAGCGTCAGAGAGGTGGCTGAGGCAGACCTGGGACAAAACCGAGAGAGACGTGCTAAGGGACTGGCTGGTGTGTGTTCAAATAAATGGCTGTCTGTCATCTTCAAACTGCCGGAGACCTACAGGCTCGTAACCTCTCAAGTCCGGGACAAGAACTTGACTTCTCTAAGACCAGAAGAGTAGAGTGACCCAGACCAGTCCCAAGAAGGTCACAGCAGCAATGGATTTGGTAATGAAAATCTCCCAAGGTCTCCACCATGATGGGGAGAACTGCCTCACCCTACAAATATCCACCAACAAAAGTTCCTGAGAAGCTGAGCTGGGGCCTACAGGGAGGAGAGGTGCTGAAGATTTCCCCAGGCTGGGGATAGGAGTGGGGGAAGCCTAAGCTTGCTGGGTGACCTCAGCAATGCCCAGGAGAGGGTGTGTCCTGCAAATAACTTGGCCCAGAATGCATGCCAAGGACTTTGGAAACTGGCATCTCATGCCCCTCCCCATGGTTTCTTCACTGCCCCAAGGCCTGGATACCAGGGACCTGCAAGGAAAGACTGAGAAGAGGCATTAGGCTGGGGAATGGGGCCCAGAGAGGGCAGCCTCAATGACAGGCAAATCAAGAAAGATGGGGGAGACTCTGCAGAGGGGCACCCAAGGACTGATGCCCAATCCAGTCCCACCAGTGTGAGCACACATCTACACATGCTTATATGTTCACACACACAGATGGACTCAGTCAAGCTCACTCAGGCACACCTGTGCCTCCTGTCCCTGCAGATGCACATGCTTGCACACCTATGGCTGCACACACACACCTGGCATGGCTGGGCTCTAGGCTTTGCCCACAGGTTCCCTCCTGGTGATAGCTATTCACAAGCATGACATCCCACTCCCAGAGCTCCGATTCCAGGAAGGAGGAAAAGGGTTGAGGGTAGGGGTTGGGGTGAGATAGAACTGACCCCAAGTGGTTCCAGACAATGGAGGTCAGACTAGTCCTGGAAGGTCTGAGCTTTGCGACCTCTTCTCAAACCCCCTCCCAACCCAAGCGCTGACTCCAAGGTCCAACAGAAAGACCCTGGCAGCCTCTGGGCTGGGGCTCAGCTTAGGCTCTGGGACTGTCACCTGGGTCCTCACCTGAAGGGCCTCTTCCACTTCTCACAAGCCTTACTCTCCAGGGGCTCTGGTTCAGGGGCCAGGGCCAGAGTCTTGGTTCTCTCCCTCATCACATCGCCTAGGGCGTCCGGGCTCCTGAGAGAGGTAATGAAGCTCAGAAAGGCCAAGGGACCAAGCCAGCAGCTCCTTTCCCCAGCACAGGACACGGTGAAAACAGGAATTCCCAGTGAAGAGAGTTCTGTGTAGGCACACGTGCAGTGGGCACACATGCAAGCTCCTAAGACCACACGGTTTTCTGCAGGTGCCCCGCGGGTCCCGACCACTTGAGGGTCGCGGGACGGGGCTGTGCACAGTACAGTCGGCGGCCTGGGTCGCCGCTGGCAGGCGGGGATGGGAGGCAGAACCCAAGGGTCGGACTGGCCCATCCCCACTCTTACTCGCTGATGCTCACGGTCCGCTTGGCAGCCTTCTTCAGCTCCTGGGACACCCGCGCCTGCTTGGCCCTGGTTGAGTGAAAAGCGTCCTGAGAGCTCGCGCAGCACCTCGCACGGAGGCGGGGCGCGACCCGGTCCCTTCCCCAGGAGGCGGCTGCGACCCTCCTCCCTTCCAGACAACTGGGAATCCTGACTCCTCTCTGCAGGGGCGGGGCCGTCCCCCAGAAGGGGCGGGGCCGCTTCCTCACCGCTCCCGGCGCTCGTTGCGCAAGTTGCGCTCAGCGGCGGCGCTGGCCTTGCGCTGCACAAGCCTTTCCAGCAGGTCGCGCGCGTCCTCCTGGAGCCTGCGCAGTGCCGCCTCCTGGAGCCCGGCTTGCACGCGAAGCGCCCCGTAGGCTTCCCGCTGCGCGGCGTTCTGCGCCCGCTGCTCCTCCACCTGCCGGGCCTGCTGCGCCCGCGCCTCTCGCAGCTGCACCACGCGGGCCTCCAGGGCCGCCAGCCTGAAGGATGGAGAGAGCTGATGGCGGGTCCCTAGACTCCCCCGTCACTGCCCAGTGGGAACCTGCCTTGGAGCCAAGCCAGACCTGCCCCTGCCACGGGGCCAGCCGGGTGGCTAACCCAGGTCTCCCCCAAGACTTTCGCCCTCAGAGCCCTGCCGTTCGGTTCTCTGACAGCAACCAATGAGCTCAGGGGGCGTTCGGGAGGACATGGGGAAAGCTCTTGGCCGGTGCCATTCCCCTGCCTTCGACATGGCCCTGGGCCTCCCTGAGGTGGGCGCGGTCCTCTCGCTCTCGCCCGCGCCCGCGCCCAGGTCTCACCTGTTTCGCCGCTCCTGCAGCTCTGACTCCAGGACGCCCAGGGCCGCGCTCTTCTCCACCACCTGGTAGGCCATCTGGGGGCGGACAGGTGGGCACCGCGGCGCTGAGGCCTCTCCAGGCCTCCAGTCCCTCCCGGGCCAAAGGCGCTAAGGGACGGTCGGCTGCTCCCCTGCCTGCCCCCGTCCTGAAAAGAAAGCTGAGCCCCACAGGTTTGGGACCTTGCACAGGGATGCGCTGCTGTTTGTGGAGCAGTGGAAGGGCCTCGTGCTCTGGATTCAGCCCTGGGTCTCAATCCTCACCGTGCCGCTGCGTTTCTCTGCTACCCTACTAGGAATCTCTCCGGCAAGAGCAACCCCGTCCACTGCCTTGCCTGAAGAGTGGGAAGCCAGCGCTCCGCTCCCAGCGCCATGCAGAATCACTGCGAGGACTCCCAGCGCGGCGGCTGGCAAATGCCCATCCGGCGCTCGGGCGCCATGATGCTCCCAGCACGCTACACACTTCTTCCCTCCTCACCACACCAGGAGGCTGGCACTGCCACTCACTTCACAGACTAGGACAACGACAGAGAGGTTTAAGTGTCTTGCCCAAAGTCAGGTGCTAAGAGATTTGAGCCCAAGCCACCTAACTGCATCAGCCTCCAGGCAAAGCACTGGTCAGGCGATGTGAGTTCTGTTCCCCACTCCTCCCAGTTGGCTTCCTGGCTTTGTCCAACCCAGGCCTGCCCAGGCACAGGTCTCAGCAGTGAGAAGCCCTGCGCAGTGGCAAACAACGCTAAGATCAGGCATGAACTGGGGGAGCCAGGCTCCTGATTCAATACAGGAGCAGCCTGGCAGCCCAGGGCCATTTCATCTGCACCCCTGCCTCACTCGACGTGCCTTCAACCCAGAGCCAAGCAGGGTCGATGGGAGAGACAAACCCCAGGCAAGGCAGCTCCGACCAGGGTGGCAAGAGAACAAGAGGGTCAGAGGCGCCTCTGGTCCAGACCAAGCCTGGGGGCTCTTGTTTCTAATCTTCCTGTGTTCTCATGTGGGCCTAGTGAGGACAGACTGAGGACCAAGGTTGGTGCTGCCACCTGCACTGACATGACACCCTATGTGAGTGAATCTGCGGAGAGGGAACCTGCACATGTGGGGTGGGGCACCTTTATTCATAGTTGGCCCCATTTATAACATAATTCTTTTTACCACTGAGCAATCTGATAAACACCTCCACTTTTTCACCTGTAACTTGCTTTCACTTATGTTGTATTACACTATTCAATAGTTTATTGTATACCTTTTTTTTTTTTTTTTTTTTTTTTTTTTTTT